TAAATCGTAATTAAATCCAAACTCGATTTTTCCCCGACTAATTCCCCATTTGGAAACAAGTGGCCGCAGTCAGATTTGCCCGACAGATACAAAAGAACGATCATTGTTCTCAAGGCTACCTTTATATTCTCGGTAGACGAGGAGCAATTATTCAAAGCAGACGTTCATTTGTCTTGGGGAGGAAACGCATAAATGGAACGTTAAAAAAATTTCGCTAAACCGGCAACAAACCGCCGTAATTATGATTGAAAAAAGGGAAACCACGTTGTTTGATGATATAATCTGATAATTTGAGTGGACGAGGGCGTTTCATAAAATTTATTAATTAATCTGTCTGTTTTAGCATCCATTTTGTATTACAATCTATCATTAGTGTACAATATATTTTTCTTTCGTTAGTTTGTATTGCACCTAGCTTAAAATTGTGAGTTCACCCAATGGTATTTTTTTCTTACTGTTCTGATGTGTTAGTTCCACTTAAATTTTATATCTAGGTTCATGCCTAAGTATTTCGTCGAATAAGAATATGGTATTTTAGTATTATTTATAGCGTTTTCGACTGGTGAAAGTGGTGCGCACTTTTTGATACTCGGTGCAAAATTTGTTTTCGGCTTGCAAGAGCAGTTCAAACCGTGCCAGTATTTGAATTTTTGGGTTGAAATAAGTTGAACTCAAAAAAATAAACCGGTGCGCACTTTTGTGAACCAAGTGTAGAGACAGGTTTTCAGTTTAAGTTCAGTCGTAACAAATATGGCGATGGCAAATGAATAGTTGTTTCTAAAATATGTAAATTTTGTAGAAGAAATATTGGAAATTTCTTCGTTAGATTCAGACGAAGAAGATTTAATTAAGGCCAAGTGTAATAAAACTAAACTGCCAAAAATAAAATATTTACATTGAATCAGTGGTCGCACCTGGATGACTCCCAGGTAGGTACCATAAATATTCTTGTAAGTCCTGTATATGCATAGTACGTGATCGTTAGTCAGCGTAGTTTTTGAAGAACTGGAGGATCTTCATTCGTAGTCGTACATCATCATTACTCACAATCGTTAGATATTAATAACAAGGTGATAAAATACTCTTTTTTCATTTTCGTATATCATCGTTAGTCAGAGTCATTGAATATTAATAAGAAGATAAACAAAATACTCTTTGTTCATTGTCGTACGTGAATGTTAGTCATTGTCATATTTTTAGTTCATTGTCGTACGTCATTGTCGTCGGATATTAATAACAATTATCTTTATTAAAAAATTCACTTATCAATTACAAATCTTGATCTGGTGCACCATATACTAACTACGGTCATCGACCGTACTCAAATTATCTTCACAGATTCAGTTTTTCATGTGATTATTACCTTAAATGCATTTTTAAACTAAAAAATCATCTATCATGCATTTATTATTTTTACAGCACCACCATTATAACTAAATATCTTCTTCAGGCTCTTAACCTAAAAAATATGACACCTATTTAACCATTTATTATCGTCATCACTAATTTATATCTCTACAGGCTCTCGTATGTCTATTCAATCTTCTTTTCAATCTAAAAATATGACATCCGTCACTATTAAAAACTTTTGCACTCACTTTTTTTTAATTATTGACATTTTATTATTTATCTTCTGTATTCATACATATTTTTGTATTACTAACATCTTCTTCTGGCTACGGGTATTACGTCATTCATTGTATTTTTTCAGTATTTTTTTGAAATTATGTCGCCTATACTCGTGAATTTTAAAAGCCTAATGTCATATGACATGCTAATTATGAATCTGTCACTCTAATAATGTAGGTTTTCATTTAACAAAATCTACTAGTTTACAATACTTTTTCTGCGACTAATACTAGTAAATGTAAGATTTCAATCGACAGAACTCTACTAGGATACTGTTTTTCTACTACTAATTATAATCTAACTTTTTCGACAAATTTTGTCAGATATATTTTCCTACAACCAATGCTAATGTAAATTTTTATCTGAAGTATTTTCGAAGTGAGTCTAAAGTGCCACCTTCGATTGCATTATTTGGATGTTCAGAATTATATATTTTCTATCTTTTAAATCTAATAAAAGAAAATGTCTTGGAAATAAGACAGCTACTAATATTTGCTATTTGCAGTTCTTACTGATACTATAGGAGTCCATTTGCATTCCACTCTATGATTTTGAAACTATTTAATACTAAAATGCTTAAAAATAGCTTCTTTGGTGCTATATTCTAATCTAATTATACGCTCATCCAGTTGTGTTATTCTCTCCAGAATATGTTTATTGGATGTACTTTATTTTAATTACCAGAAGAAGTTTGTCTGTATGTTTTGTTACCTTTATCCCCTTTTGATACCGTGTTGTGATTGAGGAAGTATGTTCCTGTCTTCACAAACGTCCCAGATTCTTTCCTTGTGTCTTAATTTGTGGACATGTATTTAAACATAGAATACAAAAACCGAGAATTGTTGCTTTGCTCGTTCTGGGTTACCTGGTTAGCCTTCGTATTAATGTACACTTGGACTTAGCTAGTTGTTGCAGTATTGCCAATTGGAGGTGTTGGGGTTGAACCCTTTAATAATGTGTTAGGCGCAGCTAGTACTTAAAAATCCTCGTTACTAAGAAGTTGACATTATTATTGAATGGATTGTCAAACTCTAAAAATGTATTTTTTTCTTATATCGATTGTAAATACGTTAATATATATACAAGGATAGTCTCCAATGATGGATTTAATTTCATCTAAATACAGTCCGCTCTCTTCATGGTCACTTCAAAAGCCGGATACTTCATGTTAGAAGTAATTTTCCAGTAGCACCAGGAGGAACGTCAAAGGCTTAATGGTACACATAAAAATTCATTCGGTGCTGCTACAGGGGTAAGCCATTGTCGAGGTCTGATTAATAAGTAAGGCCAATTGAGTTTAATTAGGATTTTAACTGAGTGTTACTATTGCAATGCGTAGACGAAAAAATAACGATATGGAAGCTGAGGTACAAGATCAATTAGATGAGCTAATGCGTAAACGAGCAATTCCAAATAATCAACACGGCTATACAATTTGGTTACAGATTTTTCAGTAGATAATATTAGTAAAATTAAGTCTAGGTTAGAAAAATGCAATGACTGGTGGAGTGAATTCCTAGAAATACAGTTTGAGATTGAAAAGTATGATAGCTCTCTAGCTCAACAACAAGAAAGGATAACCTTTGAAGATCATTACTTTGAAGTTGTTTCAGTTACTAAAGATAATATTTCACAAAATGAGCAAGCTTAGTAAATCTTTACACGGTCTCATGGTGAACCATCTATAGAAACTGTTGCTGAAATGCAACTTGCGGCTATAGAAGTCCCAAAATTTGACGGAATAATAATAAGTGGTTAAGTTTCTGGGATGCATTTTGTACTCTTATTGATTCAAATAATAGGATACCGCAGTATCAAAAATTTGTCTATTTATAATGCGCTTTGACAGGGGCAGGAGTTAATAGAGGATATGGAAGTTACGAGGGTAACTACAAGGACGCTATTGATTTGCTAAAATTAGAGTTTGATTACAAAAAGATAATAAATTACGCACATTTAGAGGCATTAGATTCATTTCCGACAATGGTTAAGGAATCATATGAACAATTAAATAAGTTTTTGAATACAATTCGAAAAAATATTAGGGAACTGACAACATTAGGTGAAAACGTGGAACAGTGGGAAACATACATGATATTTCATCTTTTTAAAAAATTAGATAAAACTACAAAAAATATGTGGCAACAAAATACAGAGTTAGATGAATTTCCTTTAATGGAAAAGTTTTTAAATTTCATTTCCAAACGGTGTAAATATGTAGAGCCAGAAAAGGCTTGGTTAAATAAGCAAGATTTTAACAAAACTTCGTATTCTTCAGATATAAATTAACAAGGTTCTTTCAGCTATAATAATATTAGGGGAAATGTAGGTAAGTTTTAGCCTTAGCCAGGTAAGACTCTTCTGGCTACTCAAAACCAGAAGTCAGCAGGAAAATGTGGCATTTGTAATGAAGCTCATAATATATTTTTATGCAAAAAGTTTTTAGGCATAACATTAGAAGAAAGCAAGCGAGGCTAGTTTATGTTGGAATTGTCTTAAACAGAGTCATAGAGTACAAGATTGTTCTTCAGGATGATGCAAGCATTGTGGAAGAAGACATCATTCTCTTCTATACGAAAACCAGCATGCATTTGAAAATAACAATGGTCGGCAAAAATCATATTCGAATGTTGTTGTGCAGGGAGAGGGCTTAACCACAGATAGTAACAGCAATCAAGGGACTAGGTTGAATCAAGGATGTAATTCACAGGCAAATCGTAATCAAGGTAATGGCGCGTAAATGCAGACTATTCCAGGTGGGTCTCTCCAATCACATGAGGTACAGTTAAGAAATAAACAGTGTCAAGGCAATCAGGTACACACTTATTGTGTCAATTCGGGAATTAAAGAAGCTCAGTTATTAGGGGCACAAGTGATTGTTCAATCTAACATATTTTATGAACTGCCATTCTGACAGTCAAAAACTGTTAGGGAACTTATCATTCATGTCGTTGTTTATTGTATTCAGGCTCTCAATCGTCTTTCATTACGAAAAATGTTTGGAAAAACTTAGGACAGGGCCGTACTGGACCCACTTTTTTACCCGGGCTGATCATTTTTTGACCAGGGCCCATATTTCACATGAGAAATTTATATAAATATTAGGATATTTAGTGAAACGAAATTTTTGTAATATAATTTATATAACAGAAAATTTTCAACCCAAAAATTTATTGTGCACTGTAGGTACAACATATTACCTAAAAAATAAAAATATCCAAATGATGTAACTAAAACTAGAAAAGGAACAGATAATTCTTAAAAACTAATACCATATACTATACTAGTAGGTTTATACCATATTCCTAATAGGAAAAATGATGAACACAAACAATAAACTTAAAATCTAAAAATATTTAACTTGACTAAAGCTAGAATAGTTGTAAACTTCTGTTTTTTAAATTGTTAAACTTTCTTAAGAATAAATCAAAATCAATTTCCCGACTGCGCTGTCTTCCAAATGCTAAATATATTAAATCTGCCATACGTTGCTGGTTCATGGAATACCGTTGTGGTCGATTAATAGCCGTTAGTGTTGAGAATGAAGATTCATTAACAGCAGTACTGCAGCCTATTGTTGCCACAGCCGCATAGAGACAGTAGGTTTTTTGGAACGCAACTCTATTTTCATATAAAATATTAAAATATTGGTCCAAAGGCTTCCCATGTAAAAAGTCTTTTACCACTGTTATTTCTTCCACACTTGGTAGTTCAATACCTAGAAATTCAAAATAATTTAAAAAAATATAAACTAGAAATACATTTATAGTATACCTATGTTTTCAAAATATTTTAATTTTTCCATGTTAATTTCATCTAAACTACTAACTGCGTTAATTAATTCGTCATTATTAGTAAATCTGTCTTTTAGTAGATTTGATATTATATCAACAGTCTCGAAGAAAGCTGACTTGATTTTGTCGTCCAAATTTGAAATCATTCCAGAACTGCTCGATGGTAATGGCTCTGTTAGTAAGTAATTTTTCATATTACCACTTATTTTAATATCTCTCCTTGGTCTTAAATTTTCTGTGTTTGAATTAACTTCAGAACAAAGATGCATAGCTTCATTTACTAAAGTTTGTAAAACTTCATCGGATCGTAAATCTTGGATTTTGCTTTTAACTGACAAAATCACGCAGTTGGCATCTTTTAAACTCGTTGATCGCTCTTGCAAAATAGCATCTGCAGGTTTAAGAAATTCTAGAATTTTTTTCATCAAAACCAGAGAAAATCTAAAGTCTATTTCCAACATAACTAACTTTATACCTCTACTTTTGGCAACGTCTTGTCCATTAAAAGAATTATCTTTTCTAATTTCATCTAGGGTTCTTAATATTTCAGAATAGTTTGAATAAATAACCCTAACTACTGTCAAATGTCCAGACCATCGTTGCTCTAGTAATCTAACAATTGTTTTTCCCTTATATATGGCTGCTATCTTTCCGTGACCAAAAAATTTATGGAGTAAAATGGCTTGATCAAAAAAATGTTTTAGGATTGGAATTTCTGTAACTACTCTTACCACGACAAGATGCAAACGATGATTAAAACAGTGAACATACGGCACACATCGTCCAACACTTTTTTCGATTAAAGCTGCAACTCCACCTTTCCTGCCGCTCATTACGCTTGCTCCGTCATAACACTGGCTTATAATATGAGCGGGATCAATCTTATTTTTGTTTAAAATATCTAATGTTAATTTAGTAAATGTCTGTGCATTTAATTTTTCAGTCGTGTATATTCCTAGAAATGATTCAAAAACTTTGCCACTTTTAACATATCTTATTCCAATCGAAATATTTTCTCGGTTATTTGTGTCTCTCGTGCCGTCTTCTAACAGCGTAAACCATTTTACGTCAGTACTTTTTAGATCTGAAACAACTTGTTCTCGCACTACTTCTGCCAAAATTGAAATGATTTGGTTTTGAATTTCTGGTGAAGTATATATTGCATTTTTTGGTATATATTTAGCACATTTGGTCTTTTTTTTGGGTAAATTCAAATAAATTTTTGAACAGGCTGGATTCATAATTTTCATCAATGTTATAAGTTCCGCGAAATGCTAATTCGTTGATAGCTAAAAACTGAACAATTTCTGCTATTGACTTAACATAATATCTGTGCCTTTCTAACATGTCATTGTTTATCATCGTAGAAACTGATGCTCCACTTGCATCTCTGCGCTTTTTTTCAACCCACATTTGCATTGCTTTTATGTGGGTTAGGCTATTTTCGTGCAACGGAAATCCATTTTTTGCATCCATTGCATTTTTCCAGTTCTTGAATCCTGTTAAAGTAAATACAATGTGGCTTCTGGGTCCATTAGGTTGAAACTGACGACAAGGGTAGCAGAAGGCAGAATCTTTTTCTTTGGAATATTCGAGCCATTTGTATCTACCAAACCATGAAGCTTGAAAAGAACGGTTATTGGGTTGTTTTGGATAAGTACTTAAGATAATTTGTTCAATTGGCTTCCCAATCTGTGCCAAGTCCGATTGGGCAGCTACAGTAAGGTTTGTATCTTTTGTCTTCTTTAGAGGACTAGGTATTAAAGGAATACTAGAACCAGACTGTTGTTCTTCATTTTCTGATGTTTTTATGAAATTATATTCAGCATTAGTCTCATTTCGATTTAGCATTACCTGACTAGGCCGCTTGAGGTATTTTCTAATGTCCATTTTTATTAAAGTCGACAAAAAACGAAATATTGTTATACTTCAAAATTATTTATAAATGAAAAACTGCGAAGCACCCGGCACTACGCGACATGGACTGTACACTGAACTATACCTATAGAACTACTAAACTGAACTGCACAAGTGCACGCGAGAAGATAAACCCACGCGCATGCGATCAGCCCATCCCTCTCGCACGCCTGACGTCACTGGGAGACTATCCGACTTAGCCAGTTCTGTACGGCGCAAAGCGGTTTTGCGCGTATTACTGATTATTTCATTTTATTTTTTTTGGTTTGTTGGGTTTTAGAAGTAAACGTGCGTAAAGCTTTTTATATGTTATATTTAAAAACATTGTTTTAAACATTAACTATGGTATACGGTGCAGTAGTGGGTTGTTCAAACAATAACAACCAAAAACATACTGCTTGAAATTGAATCAATGCTTTTAAATTTATGTTGATGTTTAACTTTTAAGACGATTTATTACTTGTTTATCCAAACATTTTTAATTTTTACTCCTCCTTTTTTACATTCATCCGTAATTTTTATAAAAATATTAAATTGATTGTAAAATGAGAATGTCTATACTTTAAAAGCTCTAAAATAAGATTAACTCGAATTTTTTTCAAATATTTTGAATTTTTACCCCCTCCCTTTTATACCCCTACCTGTATTTTTTTATTAAATCTCCAAATTAATTTTAAAATTAAAATAGTACGAGACTACTCGATTTTTTAAATATTTTAAATTTTTACCCTTCCCCTTTTTACTCTTTTTATAATTATCTATTAAAATATTAAACGGATTATAAATTCAAAATGTCTATAGCCAAAAACCTATAAAACAACATATTACTCGATTTTTTAAGAAAAAATGCAATTTTTTTTTCATTTTCCCTGAAATTTCACCACCTTCCCCTTTACCAATTCCACTCAAAAATATTCCAATCCAACCCCTAATGGAATAACACCTATCTATAGCGCAATTCCTTTAAAAGTTATGGTGACTACCGATAGACAGAAATTTTCTTTTTTGCTCATAATACTTTTTTTACACGTTTTGGGATATTTCAAGGTGATTAGACAAGCCAAAAAATATTTAGTTTAATAATATATTAATATTATAAAAATAATATATCAATATTATAATAAACATAAAATATTGGTTAAAACCGCTCTAGCGTAATGCTTTTCCATGCCCACGAGATGGATTGTTGTGAACGGGTGACGTCATGCGCAAACGTGGTCGAAATTGGATCGTCAAGTACTTCTCGAGTAATAGTGCACGCAAAAGCGACAGATCGACTCGCAAGAACAGCCCGCGCCCGCGCAAAACAGACGTTCTTAAAAAGGTTTTTAACGTAAGCGTAGTAAAAACAGATTGAAAGATAATGTTGGCGGTATGTAGGTACCTATATTGAAGCACCAATTTATTATTATTATTGATACTGCAATAATTATCACATTTATATTCTTCATTCAAGCAAAGTTTTGTCCATTTCTGATATAGCTTCATAACATTTTTTTGGATTCAAAAAAGAAAAACCATTATTTTTTTTAATCTTCGAAGGGGTGTAACTTATCCGGGGAGGGTTTTTTCAAAAAATTTTATACCAAAAACTCACATTAATTTTCATCACAGAATCACCCCTTTTGGTGTTATTTAGATACACCCTGTATAAGGGGAAGGAGAGCAGTGTGATATGCAGAATATTGAGCATTATATTGGCGATGGCGAGGAGACACACAAGACGTTAGGACTTTTTTGGTAGCCAACACGGGATACATTTCTTTTTCCAGTAAATCACATAGTGAAAAATAAACAAATTTCTAAAAGGACTATTCTGTCAACGATCTCGCAATTATTTGACCCTTTAGGCATGGCGGGTCCAGTTATCACAAATGCAAAATTACTCCTCCAGGGGTTGTGGAAGCTAAAATTGGAATGGGATTCGGTTGTACCAGAAGAATTTGAAGCAACATGGGAAAATTTCAGGTATAGGCTAGAGCAAATAGAGCACGTGTTGATTCCTCGGAAGGTTATATGCAGCGAAACTTCTGAAGTTCAAGTGCATAAAAGTGTTATATCTACATCGCTTAGAGTTATGTGGGGCTCTTTTGTTAGCGCGATTAGTTTCTGTATCATTAAAATCATTAGAATTCACTCCCAACATGGTATTTTACTGGTGCGATTCAACAATTGTACTTTCATGGTTGGCAGCTGAACTAGTGGAGTGGAAGACTTTTGTAGGCAATCGTACTGCAGAGATCCAAAGACTCACTAAACGATATCAATGGGATCACATCAAGTCGAGTGATAATCCTGCGGATGTAATTTCTCGGGGATTGGATTCAAATCGTCTCAAGGATTGTCGAATTTGGCGGGAAGGTCCTAATTCGTTAAGCGTAGATTCTAAGGATTGGCCTATTGGAGAGGTTTTAATATCTGAGACAAAAAATACTAGAATGTAGGGTAATACATCAAACATTATTAGGTTTACAGAATTTAGAAATGTGGAATAAGTATTCAAATTTTTCTATGTTGGTGGTCGGATATTGCTTGCGGTTTTCAAATAATAGATTCAAAAAATTGGTCGAGGTAAATGATATTCTACCTTTGAACATTGAGGAGCTTCAAAGGGCGACAAAAACATTTGTTAGATTATGCCAGTGGCAGGTATTTCAGAAGATTATTGCGCTAAAAGGGAAACGGAACATAGTAAAAAATAGTAAATTGTTATCAATAAACCCGTTTCTGGATTTGAAAGGTATACTTCGGGTAGGGAGAAGGTTAAAAAATTCCAATTTGCATTTTAACCAGCTTTATCCAATCATATTACCTAACCATCACAAATTAACTAAAATGCTTATTACTCATAAACATCGTAAGAATCTGCATGCAGGACCACAAGCGTTATTGGCTATAATAAGGTTACATTATTGGCCCTTATCTGGTCTCAATACAATAAAGCAGGTATTGAGGTATAATGGAAAATTTTCCTAAAAGTCGAGTAATCCCAAGCCGTCCTTTTTCAAATTGCGGCACTGATTACAGGGGTCTATTTGGAAATAAGGTTAGTAAAACACGAGGTCACACAGATATTAAGGTTAACATGTTCGCATTTGTATGTTTCGCCACTAAGGCGGTTCACCTTGAGCCTGTGAAAGATTTGTCAACTCAAGCTTTCCTCAATTAATTAACAAGGTTTTCAGCTCGACGCGGTTTAAGTTCAAACATTTATTTTGATAACGCTACAAACTTTGTAAGTGCCAAAAATAACCTACAAGAGTAAAACTGTTTTTTTATAAAATTCAGGCACCCAAACTGAATTTCAACTACATTTTGCTAGTCAACAAATTAAATGGCACTTTATTTCAGCACCATCGGCGTATTTTGGGAGGTTGTAGAAATGCGTAATAAGGTCCGCTAAATATCACCTAAAGAGAGTAGTTGAGGAGTAACGACTAACTTTTGCAAAAATGGTTAAAGGTGGAATCATGCCTAAACTCACGTCCATTGGTTCTATTGACGTTAACACCGGGTCACTTCTTAATCGGTTCTTCGTCAGCATCGCTACTCCAAGAAGATATGGGGAAATTTAAAATAGGATATAAGGACCGATACAAATTAATCCTTCGCATCAACCAGATTTATGGCAGAAATGGTCCAGAGAGTATTTAACATGTCTTCAACAGCGAAGTAAGTGGAGGTTGTCTAAGGAGCCTATACGTGTAGGAGAACTGGTTATCATATAAGAAGACAATTTTCCGCCACTTAAGTGGGTAATGGGCCGAATAGTCACGCTACATCCAGGAAATTATGGTCAGTGCTGGGTGGTAACCATGAAAACTTTACATGGCCTGTTGAAACGAGTAGTTACTCGAATCTGTGTTTTACCGGTAGACCCGGATGAGGATACTCAGTTTAAAACTATTATTCAAGTTCTTAGTTTATACATTTGCTTTTGAAAGGTATAGCTTTCAAGGATGGCGGCACGTTGGGGTTAAACCCTTTAATAATGTAAGGCGCCACTCGTACTTAAAAAATCCTAGTTACTAAGAAGTTGACATTATTATTGATTAGATTGTCAGACTCTAAAAATGTATTTTTTCTAACACGCTTATATTAGCTTCACCTGTATGAATGTGTGTATGTTTGTAACTCTCCTTTGGACTCAAGTGGCTTACTACTGTCAGTATATCCCACTAAGTCAAGATCGTTCGTTGACCGAGCGGTCTAAGGCGCGGGTTTTCGATTGCCAGACTCACCGATCGTGGGTTCTAATCCACACGGCTAAAAAATAAATATTTTTTTTTTAGCAATTTCAACTTACAAATGTTTTTTTTTTAAT